CCCTTTTGCGGATAGACGAAGCTCTGCCCAATTTTTCAGTAATCAGATCTGATCGACGGTAGTCCATGGATAAACCCCGGCACAGGCAAAGATCCCACGCAAGCAGAAGGCCGATAAACGATCTCTGCGTTTGTTTGATAAAGTTGTAAACTTTTTATTTTCATTGTGTAAGGAGATCTTATAAAAAGATCAACTTTTTATTTTATTCGAGTTTATTGTAACGACTAAAGTTGTAATAGATTCGATAACAATGGAAACATCAACTTTCACCGCAAACAGTTATATGAGTTGCTTGCTTTGATAGCAGGAGGGTTTTATTTTATTTTTTGCAGCTGGTTTGAGCTTACTTGCGCCCAATTACTTGCTGGGTTATATGATCTTGTTTGTAGACTGGTTACTTGTTGGTAATTTGGCTTGCTTGCAGCCTTGGTTTGTTGTGGATTTTAAGTCCAATCTGAGTTGGTTGTATTATTGGGTCCAACTTGCTTATGTGTGGACAGGTTTTGTTTCATTTTTTACAGCTGGTCTGAAACAAACTGAATCTGAAATAAACTGAATCTGAAGCAATCTGAAACAAGCTCACAAGCAACCATTAGAAAACAAATTGAACCTGAAACAAACATGCTGAGTAACTTGCTGGTTATATGAGCTTGTTTGCATACTTTGATGGCTTGCTTGCAGGTGAGACTCATTTTTTGTTTGCGGCTGCTTGCTTGCAGCCTTGATTATTTGAGCACTAAGATTGTTTTGAGCTTGGTTGTTTTTGATGGATTTGTGAGCTTCGATTAAGCTTAGTCTTCATAGTTTCCATAATTTCTCATAAGGGACATGTAATGTGTTGTGGATGGTTCTTGGTTAGAGCTTGTTGCTTGTATCTCTAGGTGTAGCTTGCATGTTTGCGGCTGCTAGCTTGCAGGCTTGGTTACTTGAGTTTTTGTTACTGGTTACTTGACGCAATCTAGGTTTTCAATTTTCGTACTTGTTTGCAGCCTTGGTTATTTGAGCTTGGGTTAATGTTTGAGCTTGCTTTTGATGGTTTGTGAGCTTGGTTGTTTTAGTTTCAGTTTGTCTGAGCTTGGTTGCTTGTTTTTGATGGATTTGCGACTATGATGATTGGTCAATTTTTTTATAAGCTTTGTTTTTGATGGATTTGCGGCTATGATGATTGGTCGTATTTTGATAATACCACCTACAATGGGATTTTATTGTTTATAGGAGGCGTTCAATAATAATAATGCAATCTACATTGCTTTTGCAATTTTTAGATGAGGCAGTCCATTATTTGAATGCAATCTACAATGCAAATTCATTACGTAGGGGTTGAAAAAAATGACTATTTTCTAAGCCTCTATGTTATTATTTATTTTTACATTTTATTATTTACATTGTCTCTGGTAAGTTTATGACTATTTATGATCGTTTATAGCCGTTGGAGTGTAAATTTAATTGGGTATGCTTACCCCAATTGAATACAATTGTATTTATTTTTTTGTGGGAGGTAAGCTCATGAAAGTTTCTTATTTTCACCAATCATTATTTTGGTAATCCTAAAATTTGTTTGCTACAACTATGGATTTTAAATTCAAAAATTTATAGTGCTACAATTTGAGTTTGAAACAAACAAAATATTACAAATTATAGTATTCCAAATCCCAAAATATTGATGAAACAAACAAAATTTTAGAAATCCCAACTTATTTTAAAAAACCTATGGATTTCAAATCCCATGGTGAAATCCATATCCTAAAATTATAGGAGTTGAAACAAACACCCCCTTAGAAAGAACCATGGAATTATATTTGCAATGGTGGGTTTAATGTTGAAGAGAGAGGAAAGGAACTTTGCAAAAGTTTGAAAGGAAAAGAAAGAGGAGCTCTTCATTAATTACGAGGAGTATTTGAGGTAAAATGTCAAACATGTGGCTAACAAGTGAGAAGCCTAAGAAAGATCATGTTTGTTTGTCAAGAGGCTATTTGGAAGAAATGTGAACTTTTCAATTCTTTCCTTTAAAAATATTGTAACCAAGAAAATTATAACTAGATAATATTAACTAGACTACAAATCTCATACTACTTTTAAACTACATGGAAATAAAGTACAAGATTTTTTTCTTTTGGATTGTTATAATAAATCGAGAGCAAAGAAGAACCTCAAACTTTTATTACAAAAATAATTTGGGGTTTTTTTTTTTTGGTAAATGAAAATTTTATTTCATCTCCAAATATGAAAGTTGTATGTACATCAATGATCTCAATATGAGAATACCAGAAAATGAGAAGCTAAAGCTCAAGAATCTGAGCAATAGCCAATACATGGAAATTACAAACAGGAATAAAAAGCCAGTAAATGCAAAACAAATTTCAGAAATCCTTAGGGAAGATATGAGCCTGTCATTCATGTGCAACCGTGCACATCTGTGCATGTTCTACAGAGAGTGAATCCAGGTAGTTTTTTCAGGGGAGATGCTTGAGTTTAGCAGCACTGTCATTATATCCACTTTAATACCCTTAACTAAATGCTCAACTGACCTTTTCTTTAACTGGAAAAGTCTCATATTCCTCTCATTCCAGATTGCATAAATTGTGCCTGAAAGAGCCATTCTTTTAACCCTTTGTTTAATACCTTTTCCTTTCAATCTTGAACTGAACCAGTTTATCAATAACTCCCAATTGCATGACCTCCAAGAGAATTGAAGCCAATCCGTTATACAATTCCAAACATCACTAGAATAAGCACACTCAAAAAACAAGTGGCTTCTGCTTTCCTGAAAAGAATCAGAACATAAGGAGCAATGATTTGTATTTATTATTCCCCTTCTTAACAATCTGTCCTGAGTATTCAGTCTGTTATTGACAGCTAACCAGCTAATGAAAGAGTGCTTAGGAATAATAATTTGGGGTTTTGAAATTTAGTTATCGATACTTTTCTGAAATCATGATAAAAATTTGGGATTAAAAAAAAGCAATCACGCATCGATTCCTACAGAACAAACACCCTCACGTTCGCATTATTTTTTAATTCGGCTGAATTGTTTGGCTTAAAAACCGGTCAAAAAAACATATAAAAATTTTAAAAGCAGCGGCTGCGTAGTTGGTGACTCTTTTGGACTTTAAAGTTGGGAATATATAGTAGTTGTTCGACAGCGAATTGCAAATTACATGAGTTGCTAACTTCTCCAACAATTTCCAAGTATTTAATTATACCAGCCATCGTTGTGGCCCGCGGACACTGACGTGAGTAAAACTCAATATGTCCTTCATTTTAATATTCTTTAGAACTCATTGCTTTACTAAAAAAATTGATAATAATCATGCTGTTGAACTAACAAGGAAAGTATGGATTCGGGTAATGAAATAATGGATCGATGAAGTGGTAAAGTTTGGCGCGATGGCTCCCAGAAAGAAGACGCCGAAGCACGATGTCAGATCACAGACGAAAGGGTCAAATAATTTTTATCTGGCTAATTTCTATAAAAAAAAAAATATTTGGCTAAATAGCACTTAAATACCTCGTACTCTCACTGAGCACTTTTATATACTTTCTTGTTTTTCATATCATTTATATACCCTAAATTGTTTAAAATCTGCACGTTGATACGGTCATGCAAATGTGAATATTTTCACCTACATATTCTTCTATATATGATACTCATACGCTAATTGTAAACCTTTCTAACCATTAATATTTGTTAAGTTTTTTCTTTAGATTGATCTCAATTCTAATTTAAAGTAGAATTAAGATAAGTCTATAAGTAGAATTTTGGCAAGTTTAATAGTAAATTTAATAAATATTTAACAAATATTAAACAAATATTAAGATAAGTCTATAAGTAGAATTTTGGCAAGTTTAATAGTAATTTAACAAATATTTATATTTAAAAAACTAAAATAACCATTGCCTCCTCCCTCCTTCTCCCTCAACCATTGCCTCCTTCCTTCCCCACTTACATACACACTAACGACATTCAAAGTTAGCATTTAAACTTAAAAGTTAGTACAAAAGTTTTAAAGTTATGTTGGGATGAGAGACGTCCACACCGTCACGGAAGCGATATCAACTTCGAGAGAAAAACAACTCTAGCTAGAGTTTACACCAAACTCAAAACTAACCAATTACAAGCAATAACGAATACACATATAAAACAATAAGTAAATCAGACGAGATAACAAATTTACGTGGTTCGACAAACTTGCCTACGTCCACGGGCACTACACAAATAATTTCTTATTTAACCACAAGAAATTATAAAGCTTGCAAAAGACACTAGTAGAAAATCACGTATTTTAGAGGAATATTCTAGACGGAATTTTTTCCGTCTAGAATGTATTAAACTAGACGGAAATTTTCCGTCTAGAATATTCCGTCTAGAATAAAGCATTCTAGACGGAATATTCCGTCTAGAATAGTATTCTAGACGGTTTTTTTTATTTTTTATTTTTTTTTAAATAACCAGTTATTCTAGACGGAAATTTCCGTCTAGGATACTCATTCTAGACGGAAATTTCCGTCTGGATTAACTGGCCATTTTAAAAAAAAAAAATTAGCCCGTCAAAAAATTAACCGCCCTCCTTTCCCCCGCAAAATGGAAAATTTTATACCAAAATCCGCCTCCTATTCTCACCCCACCTCAAATCCCTCCCCAAATCTGACTTCCCTCCGGTCCTCGACTCGATCCTCTCAGATCTCGACGCCAAATCCCTCGACCTCCTCCCCCACCTTGTAAACCAAAGCACGACCGATCTCGTAATCGATGAGATTCGATCGATCGATTGGTCGAGGGCGATCCCTTTGAAGATCGTGCCGTTGATTAAGGACTTCCATGGGGTTCCCAGGGCTAGGGTTTTGGAATTGGTTGACAAAGTGTTTGATGGGATGGGAAAGGTTGAGATCCAGGATTTGCCTGCGTTGGTGTACTAGTTGCTGGTTTTGGCGTCGAAGGGGGTGAGCAGGAGGGAGATTGTGAAGGGGATTTTAGGGTTTTTCGATGGGTTGAAGGGGCAGGGGAGGATTGTGAGGGAGGTGGAGGGGACGGTGCTGATGCATGTGAACTTCGCGGTGAAGCAGGATTTGTCGCTGGGGAACGAGGTGATTGGGATTGTGAAGTCGGATTTTGAGGTGATTAATCATTTTGTGGTTGCTGTGGTTCTTTCCATTGTGAGGGTTAGGAGGTTTGGGGAGAATGCGATTGGGGTTTTGAAGGCGGCGGTTGTTGGTTCGCAGAAGGATTATAGAGTTTCAAGGTGAGTGTGATGTTTTCAAGCTTAAAAGCTGCTGAGTTCTGTAGTTTGAAACGATTTTTGCTGAACGTTCACACTTATTGATTCCGCCCTGACTTAATGTAGTATAGAAACTCTTCTTTGATTTCATCATGAATGACCATAACGAACCATAAAAACACTAGGACATTAGACGATTCAAAGTAACCACATAATGGCAAATTTTTTTTCCTTCCACGGATGCATAGTTTCTTCTGGTTGTTAAGTAGTTAAATTATATAGTGTGAAGCAATTTTTATTTAAGTAATAGAGTTCTGATCCCAACTGGTAGAAACTCTTGTTATGCTCAACAAGATGTGAATTGCCAATGACTATAGATAAGCCATAAAACAGAAGGAAATTGGCCAAAACAATATAGCTGCGTGATGGCAATGACAATGAATGCTAAAAACTGCATCAATTAATAATGTATATTGCTTCACATAATTCTGAACTTTTTAGGGATTGCAAATGGTTGCCGGATAAAGTGAAGGAAGAATGTCTTGAAACAGCCAAATATGTGGAGAAGGCTTTCATTAAAGCTGTATGTTTTCTTTAAGGTTTTCCGCCTGTCCCTTTAATATGCTAAATGAAGATTTAACTAATTGAAATATGGTGTGTACCTGGTTGTGCGTCAGATTAATGAGAGCAACTGTGGTAGAGAGCATGTAGTACCTAGCATTGTCCAGTTCTGCTTTATCTTGCTAGAGTCAGCGAATGAGGAGACTGGTAAAGTCAGTGATGGAGCTGAAGAACTGATGGGTATTGAAGAACTTGGGATTAAGTTGCTCAAGACTCTTTTTTGAGATTCATGACATGGCAAGAAATGAGGTTAGTCAGTAACTACTTATTTACGCTAAAGTCAGCGCAGAACTAAAACTAGAGCTTGTTTTTTCATTATGTTGTGAGGGCCTGTGACTTGTAACACTGATACAACTGAATTTATTTATTAGATATTAAAAAAACTTAAGAGTTGTATGCTATTTGCATTGCTTGTTATTATATGTCCAAATTGATTTGTTTTTTCTTTTCTTTTCTTTTTTTTTCTGGTTGAATCAGCCGAAACGACATGATATCTTGAGATTTCAATGTCCCATTGTCAATTCTGGAGATGGATAAGTCCAAGATCACTCTCCCAGTTCTTAAAAGACTGGGATTTCACAGGTCAATGCTTTATCACGTTTTTTTAAGATTAGAAATTTCTTTCTTTAGATTCCTGCAAATTTTGTTGTTGTAGGGTTTAAGGTCAAATTCGATTTTTCTTTTGTTACTTTGTGCCATTTTCTTTGTTGAATGAACAAAAAGGAAAGATGAAGTCTTGAATCTTGATAACATAATTGTTATAGTACTGTCTAATGATGCATCCGTTGGTTGATTTCCGAGGGGGTTTGAATGAAGATGAAGATTAAATCATTTAAGTGAGTAATCACTGAGTTATTAGTCTTGTAGAAGGGTTAAGTGCTTTTTTTTATCATTAGAATGATGCCATGACCTTGATGATGTTTCTTGTGTCTGCTGATTAAATTGCTACTTGGAAAATGCTTACTTGCTACTTGGAAAATGTTTGTGATATTTACATGTCTGTAATAAGCATATTGTTATGGACAACTGTCAGAGGCTATTACATCCTTTATAGCTCTTAGTTTGCAATATTTGCATATCTGTATGCATATTGTTGTGAATTTTATTACTTAAGTCCCATTGTGTGCAGGAAAATTCTGTGTTGTGATGCTTAGCGGCCTGCTTACTTCTTTCTTCTTTTTAGTTTTTCTTGAAGGCCTACTGAGTTTGCTGCTCTGGAAATATCTTGGGGAATGTTGGGTAAGCAAAATATTCCAATTTATTCTGTTGTATTTTGAGTATGTTACACTAGTATATTGTTGATGTAATGATAATTGCTCCATAATATGTAGTTCTCAGTGATATTTAGAATTAGTTACTCAACCTTATCCTGGACACTTTTCATGTTTAAGAATCTACTGCTATGTTCAGGCATCTTGCACTACCTCTTAGACCTAACAACTTCACCCATCATTGCTATTTGCTTTTCCAAATGCTTATTTTATCTAAGTCATTGCAGGTATTCCTTTCCTTAGTTTATTTACCTTGGACACAAATTCAATCTTACTCTTAATCTTTTTTACATTAGTGCTAACATGTTGTTTATCTTTCCTGAATCATATGGCTCTAAATGTTACAGTTCCTCAACTCAAGAAGTTAGTAGTTGGTATTTGTATGGTACGTCCACCTTTTTATTCTAATTTGGGGAGTATCTTGAGCAGGATTGTGCTTGTTCTGTTTATACATATTTGCGCAAAGCTTCCAATCGGTCAGCAAATTTGCTTCTTGATCAGTTTTGGAGGAGAAGGGCCTCGATATCTGGAGCTTAAGATGCAATGTAACATGTTAGTTATGTTTAAATAACCTTGTATCATATGTTGACTTCAGATGCATTAATTTATGTAAAAGTTTGTAAAAAATTGGATTTGATATTGGAATATAATTAGATAGTGTTGGATATGAATATAATTTTTTTGTTGTTCAATATTGTGTACATGCACTCAAAGTAGATTCTCCCCCCCCCCAAAAAAAAAACACTGTAGCAAGTATCCTAGACCAAAATTCCATCTAGGATGCTCAAATTCCGTCTAGGATATCTTTTTTAAAATTAAAAAAAATAGAAAACCAATTTCCGTCTAGAATAATCATTATAGACGGAAATTTTCGTCTAGAATAATCATTCTAGACGGAAATCTTTTCCGTCTAGGATGCATTATTCTAGACGGAAATTTCCGTCTAGAATAATCCGTCTAGGATGTATTCTAGACGGTTTTGAATTCCGTCTAGAATATTCCGTCTAGAATGTATTCTAGACGGAATTTCCGTCTAGAATAATGCATCCTAGACGGAAACTTTCTAGACGGGTATTCTAGACGGAATTCCGTCTAGAATACCCATCCTAGACGGAATTTTGAGTATCCTAGACGGAATTTTCCGTCTAGGATACCTTATTTTTTAGCAGTGAGAGAAGATCTCAAACTTGAGATATCTCACAACAAAACTCGTTAATGTAGCAAATAGCTACAGGAACTTATGCAAATTTTTCTTGACCAAAAAATTCAATTCTCAAAAAACCCTTGAGAAGTTCCGCCGCCACAGAGTTTCTCCCCTCTGTAAAAATTATGAAATGAAGCACAGATTTCTCGTGAACAGGATTTCCCTTTTATAGGGAAACCCGAGGGCGAGCTCCAGCTGGTGTTGGCCTTTTTGTTTTGATGATGTTTTATAAACAATCCCTAATATTGTTTATCTAATGTTTATATTTTTTATTAGGTATTCTAGATAAACAACGATGTCGGAGGTTGGATGGATTAAGCCTAAATGATCACATCAAATGGAGGTTGATAAAATATCGGTATGAAGCCATTTGTAAATCAAGTTATATTCAGGATCAAGCTTCATCCGCAAAGTTTACCAAGAAGTGCTTATTGAAGATCTAGACATCTTGGGTATATTTTAGTTTAGGTGTTTATACTTGTGTGTTAATACTTTAAACTCAATATCACACATACACACAATTCTTGTTTTGAGTGATTTTGAAAAAAATATTGAGTTATTGGTTTTTAGACTTAACAATCATTATATACATCTTTTATTAAGTCTATAAAATCATTGTATAAGGTTTTAAAACATTATTTAACTCAAAAGTTAAAAATCAAGAAGTTTATATACACATATATTTACAAGTTTTGCAAAATAGTAAGTTTTCACAACTACGAACTGATATTTCAAAAGTTCAATCTTTAACATGTTTTTTTATTTTTATAAATATTTTCCAAAGTTTTATTAATTATGGAGTTAATTTGTTATGTTTAATTAAATTTACAAAATTAAGTTTTAATAAGTTCATGTTCGTGCATGTGTTCATGTATGTTTTTGTAAAATATATGTGTTCTCACAAATGATAAATGAAAATTAAGAAATTCTTTCTCTAATAAGTTCTATTACAGGTTTGTAACTATTTTCTAGAATTTTATTATTTTTAGAGTTTATTTACTATGTCAAATTGATTTTATAAAATCGGGTATTTTAGCAGTTTTTAGAAACTAAAATATCTATGTTCAAACATTTCTTTCTCACAAATGGGTGATATTTTAAAAATTCTTTCTGTAACATGTTCATCTATATGTCTAAAAACCTTTCTCATAGTTTCTTGATTTTTGGAGTTGATTTACTATTTTTAATTGATTTTACAAAGGCAGATACGCAAAAATTCCAAAATCAACCAAAACTGTTCCAACGGCTGTATCATCAGTCGACTAATGATGTCATCAGTTGACTGATAAGTGTTTTTCATCTTATAGTGGCTAGTTTTTTAGTTTTGTCATTTTGTGGGTTTTGGTTAGTTTTGAGAGGCTATAAAAAGCCCTCTACTCTCATTTGTTTGCCATGGAAGTTTAGAACAAGTTTTACAAGTTTTTGAGAGATTGTTTCAAGTTTTTAAGAGTGTTTTAGTTTATGCAAAAAGAGGTTTACAAGAGTAGGAGATCATTTCTTTGGTTTTTGGGCTTCAATCTCATTCTCTCTCACTCTTGAATTTTAGAGAATTTTTTCTAAACTTATCTTCTAGCATGCTTACATTTTTTATTCACACATATATATTTGTGCTAGTTTGATTTAAGTTTAGATTCATTTTATTTATCATATTCACACACAACCATTGATCGTAAAGTATTTTCATACATTGTGTAAATTGGGTTGGTGGTGTGATTGAGTGAGCCTAACTTAGTTCTCATCTTGTATTAGAGAACAAACTATTTTTGTTGAGCTATATTTGTGAGATCACTTTATAATACACTTATACACCGAGAGGAGTGTGTGGTGAGAGACGGGGTCGATTCCAAGAGGAGTGGCATCAGTAGTAAAGCCTAAAGAGAGATTATAAATCCAAACACTTGAGGAAGAGGACATGAGCTAGAGACCAACACTTAGATGGTGTAGAGTGTGATTACATTGTGAGATTTTTAGAGTTTTTCGGTAAGCTAGAAAACCGAGATTGTGTGGAGAAGTTTCGCTTTCAAACCGGGTGTATTGATATAGTAGAGATCTCCTCAAGGTGAGGAGCAGAGACGTAGGTCAAGGGTTGATCGAACTCCGTGATCATATTGTGTGTTTGTGTTTGTTATTGGCACACTTATTTTTGTGTTCATCTTATATCGCTTTGTCTCATTGTTTTTCGCCCACTATATTATTTACTCTTGTTTGTATATCCTTGCATATATCTCATTGTGTATCTCATTGCTAGGATATTGCATTAGTAAGTTTTAAATTGGCATTAAATTAGATTAGATTAGCATACATCCTTTTCACCCCCTCTAGGGTGCTTTCAATTGGTATTAGAGCGTTGTGCTCTTTGATTTGTGCCTTAACCGCCTTTAGTTAAAGATCCCTTGTTCTTATATTTTTGCTAATCTAGTTTTGAAATTTTTGTATCTTGTTTGTATATTTATATATATTATGGACATGCATTGTGTACCTTGTTTTGGCTATGATCCTAATGTTGCTCCATCATTCAATGCTTTCCCTTATGCACAATGGTGTTTTAGATTTATTGCCCACATTGGAGAAATCCAAGTGGAGCATAAATGATAAAAAATATGTTTATTATGAACAAGCTTTTGTTAGAATTTTTGTATAATGCTTTTGATTCATCTTTTTCTAACAAGCTTGATTCTTTTGATAGTGTTTACACTTCATGAAAATTCATAGAAGCACATCAAGGAGACTTAGAGGAGATTCAACGCGT